GAGGGCCTTCTCTGTGGGAGCTCCCACCCTCTGGAACGAACTGCCCCCAGAGATCAGGGTGATCCCTGATCTCCCTTCCTTCCGCCGCGCCCTCAAGACGTGGTTGTTCCAGCTAGCGGGACTGGCCTAAGGGATTTTAGAGGGGTTTTAAATTATTTTTAATTGGACATATTTAAATATTTCGTTTTAATTAAATTTTAATTAGGTATAATATGTATATATGTTAGTATTTTATCTAATTTGTCAGCCGCCCTGAGTCCGTAAGGAGAAGGGCGGGATATAAATGCAATTAATAAAATAAATAAATAAATAAAAATAAATAGCCAGATAGACAGAGATGATAGATAAATGATAGCTTACAGATAGATAGATAGATGGATGGATAGATACACAGAAATGATAGACAGATAAATGATAGATGACAGATAGATAGATAGATAGATAGATAGATAGATAGATAGATAGATACACAGACAGACAGACAGACAAATGGGAAGGGACCATGGAGGTCTTCTAGTCCAACCCCCTCTTCAGGCAGGAAAGCCTACAGCATTTCAGACAAGTGACCATCCAGTCTCTTCTTATAAAACCTCCAGTGATGGAGCCCCCGCAACTTCTAGACCAGGGCTTTTCAACCTTTTCACCCATTGTACCACTTTTAGGATATGGCAACATCCGAGTACCACCAGTCGCCTAGCAAGGTGTCAAAAACTTGATGACCCCCCCAAAAAAGGAAAAAAGTGATGAAGTACAGGTAGTCCTCGACTTACAACAGTTCGCTTAGTGACTGTTCAAAGTTACAACGGCACTGAAAAAAGTGTCCCCCAAGGCACAGCCAAGCAAGACACCTGCCTGCCCGCCCGGCCGCGCTCTTCCTCCTGTCCGAGGTTTTCATTGTTGTGAGCATTTCTGTTGAGGATTGGCAGCGGGGGTGGGGTGGGGGGGTGTTTTGGTTTTTATTCCCCCCGTCTGCTGGGTGGTTGCAGCAGGTTTTGGTCACTTCACATGACCCTGGGACACTGTGACCGTCATAAATATGAATCAGTGGCCAAGCATCTGAATGTACATCACAAGACCCTGGAGAGGCTGCAACATTCCAGCTGATCGGCGCTTCTTCTGGGCTCAGCGGAAGCACCAGGATCAGCGCCGAGCTCCAGCTGGAGCCTGGCACTGATCCTGGCGCTTCCGCTGAGCCCTGACAGCCCTGCAGCTCCAGCCGTCTCTCGCTCAGGCTTGTGCGGTGCTGCCACCGGTTCAGCTCATTCCCCTCCACTGCTACCATTTTTCTAGGATGGTCACGTACCACCTGCTAAGTGCCAATGTACCACAGGTGGTACCCGTACCACTGGTTGAAAAGCCCTGGTCTAGTGGCAGGCAGTTCCACCAGTTTAACTGTCCTCACGGTTAGGAAGTTTCTCCATAATTCCAGGTTCCTTCTCTCCGTGATGAGTTCCCCTCCGCTGCTTCTCCTGCCTTCCGGGGCTTTGGGGAAGAGGTGGACCCCCCCTTCTCTGTGGAAGCCCCTTAGATGTTAGTTTTATTTCAGACGTTTCGTGACCCAACTAGGGAACGTCATCAGTGCTCCTGTAGAAGGGAATGGAGTTGATGGAATTTATGGAGAGGAGGAGGGTTAGGGTTGTTGTCTGAACTGGGTTATTTTCTTGGAGACTTTTCGTGACCCAACTAGGAAACATCATCAGTCGTACCGTAGAAGGGAATGGAGTTTATGGAGGAGGAGGAGGAGGAGGAGGAGGAGGAGGAAAGACTGGGGAGAACCTTGGTGTTGTCTGAACTTTTCTAATGTAGACATTTCATGATCCAACTAGGGAACATCAACAGTGCTAGAAGGGAGTGAGGTTTGTGGATAGGAGGAGGAGGAGGACGACGATGACACCCCCCCCTAATCAATCACTTGTTCAAATTGCCCTTGTGTTATGTCTTCACCGAGTCCCGGTGTCCGGACCCACTTCAAGACCTCACCCCGAGAAAGCAGAACTCGTAGAAACCGTTTCATCCCAAAGGAACTTTTATTAGGAGACGTTGCTAGCAAGCCCAGAAGCCAGGATCCGAGGGTTTCCCCTCTCAAATCGATAGGTAAAAAGTGTCCCAAGCAAAAAACCCACCCCAATCGTTCATCCGGTCAGTTCACACGGCCCAATCCCCTTGTGGGGAAAGGGGAGATCACACCAGACCGTCTCCA